AACCAGGCATCAGCTTCTTCTAAAACTCGGAAGAGCCTGCTGTGCCCAGGAGCTCTGCCAGTGCCATGGAAATTGCTGAAAGTCTGAGCTACATTTCAGATCGACTTCAGCTGCAGATGGTACGGATTCCCTGTACCATCTCAGAGAAAAATAAAGACATAAAAAACAATCATGATAGGTATTGATTGCCCATCCACACATCTCTGTACAGCCAGTTCAAATCAAATGGTTCAAAGTTACCCTGGGGGTCTCTAAGCATTGACAGAGACAGAAACTTCAGGGAGGAATAGGGACAGTGTTAACTGTGTGTTGAGCTAGACTGGTATGACCTCTGGGAGGAAAGCCACACACTGAAGAGTTTACACAAGGAAAACACAACAAGATTAATAGGGAGGAGAAATATTTTATGAGACTTACTTCTATCGTTTGGGGGAGGGAAGGTATTTTTCACATAACAAATCCTTCCTCAAGTCCGTTAGGATCTCATGAGTATGCCCAAAAGCTTATCCGTGCCTTTTCTAACTCTATCAGTTCTGATCTCATAAAAAAATACTACCTCTCCCTGTAAACTTTGTCTCACTCACATCCTTAGCCCACTAGCACTATAACAGCAGTATGGCCAGCAATCTTTATACCACACAACCTGGAAAGTTTAATTGTTGTTACTGTCCCTTGCCAGACATGTGGGAAAATCCAGTCCTTACCTGGGGCTTCACCACTGAGCTGGGAATGCCCTCAGTCCCTGCTGGTTGTCAGATTTGTCCAGCACAGGACTCCAGGCACCCAACAGAACCACTGAGTTATTGCACCTGAGATAACCTCCACATTACCATTACATAATTAGGAACGACTTTAACTTTGCAATAATTAGCTCCCTCTGCCAGCTGCAGGACTGCCCACTTGAATGTTGCTTTCTGCAAAAAATGGGGTTTTACAGCAAAGCTGATTCCCAATGCCATTTTTTTTAATATCCCCATTAGTTCTTAGACCACCACAAATAAGCAACACTGTACTGAGAATTTTTCAGCCCAGACTTTTTCACTCTCTGCAATAAGCAATGACATTTGCTCATGCTTTCTTGCATTTTCAGTGGAACTTTTTCATCTGTTGGCAAGGAAACTTACATAGATCATTCCTGCTCTTTCACAGCTACTTTAAAGAACTAAGTAGCATTGATATTATTTGCTTGCTTAGAGAAAAATAAGAAGTTTCTGCTCCAAACAATGCTTCTCACTCAAAACAATTTTCCGCAAAATAATCCCCACGTTCATTAAAGTGTTGCATTTTAGTCTCTTTTCAGCAACCCGAGCAATTCTATTACTCATACTGATACTTGACTTGCTTGAAAAATCTTTTCCCCTGAATAACACTGTGATTTATTTTTACCATAGAAATTCTCCAAAATATCAATAGCCTAGATACATATACAAAACAAAAGATAGTTCCTAACCCCTGAGTCTTATAATGTAAGCTCTTTGTCAGGATATCAAATCTTATATACAATTTCAGGTTACCTCTGCACCTGACTTTAGGAAGTGATATGAATTCAGTAGAAAGTATTCAAAGGCACTTATAGGGATAGGTTTGGTACTGCTTTAAATTACTCGCTTCACTAGTACACAGCTGTATATTTGAACATAACTGATATTCACCTTAATGGCAAAGTTGCAGCTAATATTTCATACACCTTCATGAGATTAGCTCCTTTTTGTGTACAGTAAATAAATTCACGCTTAATATCATATTACAAGGTTTTCTCACAAATAAGTGATCTACTTTGTAAGATATGCAAATTTTAACTATGAAGGAAGGAGCTGATATTGGCTCCTGGCTACACGAGAGCAATCTTGTGAATTGAATGAAATCTTATACACAAAACAGAGGGCATGATTTTCTCTTTATATATCAATTTATACAGACTTACCCAATCTTACAGCTGTGCTAGGCATCCTTCAACAACTAGTGGTCAATCAAATAGAAAGTCAATCAGTAAGTTCAGAATGATCACCTACTGTTCTATTCATAAGAATTCTTCCTGTTATCTCTTAGTAGCTACTTCTTCCCTCTTCATTACCTTTTATATTTTTCATTTTGTGCTGTTATTTATCTCCTTTGCCTGGTTACTAGTCCCAATCTTTTCAACCTCTCTTCATAGGCAAGTTTCTTTCAAGCATAGGATCATTCTTATTTTTCTTTTTTTCCCCTGTAATTCTGCAAGATCCTTTCAGAAGTGCTGCACAACAACACTCCACGTAAGGAAGTGTTGATTTATAATGGCACTGTAACATTTTCCATATTTTCCCTTCTCCTGCACGTTATGCACCATAACATCAAATCTGCTTTGAGAGCACAGATATACAGGTTAATTCTTCCCAGGAATCTGACACTACAGGCCTGTTTATCAATTTGATTAGAATGGATATACACTGGTGAATAGCTGCATACAGATAATGCGAGATGTTTATATCAATAGCTGGGATTCACCTTCCCTTACTATAGCTGTTGGAAAGTTATAGGTCTTCTCTAAGCTATAATTAGGTGCCTTCTAATGTTAAAGACAAAAGAATATACAGAGAGAGACCTTTCTCATCCTGCAATGGGTGTCTAGGATAAAATGAATTGCCCTTGAAGGTTCTGATCTGTCCACTCTAGAGAAACACAGACTACTGGCTTAGACTAAAAGCCTAATGCTTTCATGATGAACATTAAAAGAAATGAGTTACCCTCTTTACTCCACAACACTACTTCTGATTTGTTCCAGCACAGACAGATGGGAGCTCATGCACCTATCTTTTATGCAGCTATTAAGCCTCACCAGGTTCTTAACATTTAATTTGATATTTATTTATTCATCTCTAATATTTGAAATTCAGAAGAGCTGGCTCCCATATTTCTGCCCAAGATTATCCAGACAGAATGATATGCATGAGATATTGCACACAGTGAATCCGACACATCCCATAATAGGCAGCTACATCACATGACTTCGGAGATTAATACATCCAGGACATATCAGCACTCCTACATATGTACCAAGCAAACACTCTGCAAAGCCCATCGACCATATGCTGGACACGGTGGATTTAACACACCTTCAGCTCAGAAAGGGGTGTGCTGTGAATCTGAAGTGTCTGTTTCTTGCTTGAGAACTACATGGGCTTGGTCTGTGCCCTGTTTCCAGGCATTTTTTGCATTCCCACAAGAGGGATGCAAAAAAGAGGGAAAAGCAATAGACAACCTGTGAAAGGGAGAGTCTCCTGCCTGCCCAAACCAGTAGAAATGTTTAGTTTGTGCATTTAAAATTTTTGAGAAGTGGGGGTATATAATTTTCACTCTGAATACCCATAACATTGAAATAAAACAATACTGAGGGCATCCAAGTCACTCGAAGTATTACAAATATATACACACGTTTGTATACAAACTGTTTGGTTTTTTTGTTGTTGTTGTTTTGTTTTGTTTGTTTTTAAACTTGAAGCAATTGTTTCCAGTCATTGCTAATATAAGTCAGAGGAGTGCACACACCAGGCAGATGCCATCACTGCAAGCTCAAGCTTCTACACAGAGCATTCTTCTTTTAACACAAGTGAGAGCCGTGCAATGAGGAATGTCTGCGAGACCTCAAGCTAACCATAAAGAATTGGATGCTCCACAATGCCCTCAGCCAGATATAAACCTCCAGATTAACAAAGTCTTTCAAAAATACTCCTTGGTGAGTAACAGCATTTATTGATTTGAAAGCCTTTGCCTCTAGTAAAATCATGACTAAGCTGCAACAGCTACACTCTCACTGTATTCTAGCAGCACGTCTCTCCCCGACACCAGAAGAAGTAGTGGAAGGCTGGGTGTCATGGGAGGATCGAGGGGGGGCTGTGGCTTCCATAACAATCAATCTTCTCCAGAGCAGCACTCTCCCCTGCTCACATAAGGAGGAGACTGCCTACGCTACTCATGTGCATGCATTTTCCATATTGCAGTCTTCCTGGGTCATATGGATTTAGTCTTCCACCTTATCCCAGCACAGATTATCAGCCTTCCCACCTAAACTTCCATTTTAAAGAATAATTTCACAATGAATGGTGCAGAACTTATTATTTGTATGTATTAAAATAAATAAATACATAAAATAGGAGCTTTCCTTAACCCTATCTTAGTCAAAAAAGGAAGTGTGTGTCTTTCCTTTGCCACCTGGATTAAAGTTTCTTCTCATCTCATTTCCACACCTCATCATCATGTCTAATCTCTGTCTCCTGAGTTCTCTGCATCCTGGAATTACCACAGCCTAGACTATGGTCTTCACTCTAATGGCACATCTTTGGGAATTTCTCTTAGACACCTTATGATTCTTCTCACAACTCCATAGGTATGAAATAGGGAGAGACGGCCTCATACCATTCTGCCCATGTTTTCTCAGAAAATCTCAAAAACTTTAAGTTTCTTGTTTAAGTTCTGCCACTTCCTCCTCACCTACAAAACCCTCATCAACTAGCTGGATAATTTACAGCCATCTTCTGCCTTGAAGGTGTCCTGTAACATCTTTTTTCCAATCCCTCTGCTATTTTACCTCCCACTACAAATCTTTGTTCAATCCATTAACATTACTTGACTGTCAAATTAGCATAAACCTTCCATTTGTTAAAATGATCACTCACACCTTTCCTTTGCTCTTCTCTGTTCTTTTCAGTTCACAGTAGCTTCTTTGCAATTTCCAAGTAGACACAACAATAGCAAGTTAGAGTTTCTGCGAAACACGTGGACCCTCATGATTATCGATGAGCAAACTTTTAAAATATACCAGATTAACATGAGACAAGTGAGGAACAGAGATCAATTACGTTGTTTCAGACTGCATTGCCAATCTAAAGTAGGTGGATATAGACTCCCTGCTCTTACAGTTTGCAGTCCCACACATTTGTCCTAAGAATATGCCTTCTCTCTCCCACAGAACAAATACCTTGTGCAGGCAGAATTCTTGTCACGTTCTCATCGAGTCAACATACCTGGATGAAGATATATTCATCCTGAACAACAAGGGAGCTGATGTCAATGGAGCGTGAAAATGGCCCAGTCCTTTTGGTCTCTGAGCACTCCTGGATCCGACAGGTCAAATAGTGGGTGTCTGTAATGGGAGAATATGTACACATGAGAAATACCCATGTAGAAACCTTGTCTGAAAATGTCATCAGCAGCTCAGAAGAAGGTCTCCTGAAGGGAAGTCTTAATCTCACCTCCAACTAACTGGACATTATTGCATGATCCACCTCTGACCTTTAAAACTGTAACTGCTCACTGGAGTCAGGGAATTCATCACACTTCCATACCCACTGTTCCCTTTCCCATCGTGCAGATATCCCTCTGACAAGTGGAGGGTACAGATCATAAATGCATCAGAAAACCGATGATGATACCATACAGAGAAGAAAAGATTTCAAAAGCCACCTAGGTGGAATTTATCCATTCCACTGTCCTACTGAGTATTATATTTCCATTCTCCCCCTAAAATACCCTAGCCTGACATCTGTTTTTTATTGTGGGAGTAGCATGCAAGGAAAAAAAGAAGTCCAAACCAGCACTATTAAGTTTAATTTATTCTGCTGTGAAAATTATAAGTTTATCACCAAATTAACAGTTATTATAGCCATATATAAGCTAGGTAGGAAAACACCATGGACATGAAATAGCATGATTAGCTGAAGAGTCCTAAAGTAGCTACATACAATAGATGTAAAATACTTCTGTCTGGAGGGAGGACAGGAAGACCCTCACAGTAATGGCATGCTCTGCTAGTCCTTGGCATTACTTGAGAGAAGGAACAGGACTGGGAGAACAATGTGAAGAAGACATAAGGCAGTCAAGATGCTTCAATAGAGGGGCCTGGATGAGAAAGCAGATATATAGCCAGATGCTCAGAGTGGCAAGAAGAGACAGGCTCACCTCCAACAAGCTGGCAGAGGTTACAGGGGATTAAGCGTTATTTCACTCAGGCTAAGAAAGGATCTCATGAAACAGAACAATCATGGCATTGTGTCTCTGGATGTATGTAATCTAAATATGCCATCTCTGCCTTTCAACTGCTCTTCTGAAAAGTGCAAATTAGGAAGAAAATGAAAATACAACTAAAATGATGGCTGCAATGATAAAAGGGTCATATCTTTTACACTGCAGCACTTTTACAGGCTTCTTAGCTTCAAGCACTTGTTGACTTTTCTACAAAGGGTGAGAACATACCATTCAGGATGAAAACAGTGAGTTTGTAATGAGTGAGGTGAGCTTATTGCAGTGGTTTTAGTTCCCATGACTGCACCTAGTAACAAGAACCTTGCTGAACTAACCCAAAAGGATAAAAGAAGTTCCAAGGGGCTGCAACTAGCCCAGCAAAACTTCTTATAGGATTGTCCATCCCATAACCTTTGCAACTGTCCTTCATCTATGTCTTTAGAAACAGCAAAACGTGTTTAACTGCAAAGCAGTGGGGGCACAACTGAGATCCTCTGACACTCAGCTAACTGCCTTCTTGTATTTAGAGACAGATTCACAAAGTTTGGCCCGTTCACCTTCCATTGCCTAGTCCCACCGACAGACCCAAAGTATGCAAAAAGAATACAAAGCAGGCCAAATGAATTAAAATATATATATAAAAATATATATATATATATATATATATTAATCTGATAAATGTTCATGCCCAGCTGTATCACTAAAAGCCTGTGTTTGAAGGCTGCAGACCTGGTACAGGCACTGGGAATTCCAGGTTAATAAGAGCTACGTGGCTGATTCAGAGCAGTTGCATACATCTGGCCCTGCACTGAAAGCATAGCCCGGTGATGGTGCTAAAGCAGCAGTAACAGTTGTCAGTGCCAGCTCAGAGTTTCTAGATGTAATTAATGCATATGGTGTATGGTGGAACATGCCTAACGTAGAGACAGTGCCAAATAACTGGACTAGCAGACGGGCTGTGCTTTCTCTCAGCATAAAATACCAGCAGCAGTAGAGAGGTCAGATCCTCAGCTGGGATAAATAAAGGCTTCTCATCAACTGACATACACAGACTTCACCCAGAATGGCTGTTTAGGTCCTGAATGTGGAATCTAAGGCATCTTTACAGTGGGTGGAAGAAAATCCTGAGAAAACAAGAGGGTCTTACATATTGCCATTCAACCAAAAGAGCTCAGCAGCCTTGACCTGTTCTTCGAGGTAGCACTAAAATTAGGCAGAACCAGGAGGAGAGGTCAGGAGCTGTATTTTTAGCAGCTCGTTCCCACCACTATGTTCTCCCACACAGTCGCCAGGATATTCTTATCTTTCCAAAAAGGGGATAATTTGCTGCTGCTGAGTGACAGAATGGGAGGAGGAATAAAAACCTGTCACAAATAAATGCAAATAAACCACAAGTGTTGACATGACAACTAGCTTCCTGCCTGCTGAGAAATGTGTCATTTTGAGTGTGTTACACCAGCAATCAAATATACTCAAAGCATGGCACCCGATTAATATTCACAGGAAGTTGGTGGTGGAGAAGGGGGGTAGTACCCTATCCACTTTCCATTTAGTAACTTGTTTATTTGTTTTCATCTATTTTACAACACAAAACCTGCAGAAGAAAACATAGGCACACAAAAAACTGATCTTCAGACCTGTCTTTGTATATAAAACTAAGTTTAATTTTGAGTTTCTTCCTGATGTCCCACATAAAATGAAAAATAATTCCCATTAAAACACATCCCTTTAAAACACACACACACAAAACCCCCCCTTTAAAACACAAAATCCCCTTTAAAAGTCAGGTAAAAATATGACAGGGTATAATAAACAGTAACATCTAAGCAAGAAAAAATGCCATGCAGCTTAACAAACCTCGATGTGGATATTTTGAAAGGCCAGAGGCTCAGCCTAGAGAAAAACCCAGACCAACAGTTTAAATTATAATATTCCAAAATTCTGAGGATTTTTTTTATTTTTTTTTTTTGCAAATGCCAAAATTTCAAGGCCAGAAAGGCTGGTTTTCTTCAGCTGAATGATGGAAGCTGGAGATCAAAAGTCCAAAGTAATAATCCCAGAAGACCCTACACAACTATCTTATAAAATAATCAGCATTTCCTTTTCAATATTTAAATTCTCAGAACATCTCACATTTTTCTGTAAGTCAAATGGTGAACTGCCCCTGTGTTATCTGCCCAGCACTCAGCTCATATGTGAGTATGACTGAAAACCAGAAACCATCCCAAGTTCCTGTCCAAGGATGGATCCCCAGAAGGGCAGGTGGCATGCACCCAAGCTGTGCAGCCCTATGAAGCCTTGCTTACCTTCCACTGGGAGATGCATGCCTTAAGAGAAGTTGGCTTCAATCTGGGGAGTATTTCCTGTTTGTATAATGTCTCAGACAAAAGCAGAATTAGTCTTTTTCTTTCTTTTTGTTTTTATTTTCACTGCAAAAATAGTTGAGAAGTGCCCCCTATTTCCTAGCTGGCCTCAAAAACTTCTTGTGCTTGTAACCTAACAGCCAGCTATTTTCTCAGCCCACCCATGAATGAGGCAATATGGACATCAAGCAGCCTGAAGGCTTTGCTGCAGCTCCAATCCCAACATCCATGCCTCCCCACAAACCCTTCCAAAAAACTTATTTCATTTAGGATTACGGAGTGACTTTCCCAGAGGCATATCCATTTTCCAGCTGAGGAGCTCAAAACACATCCCCATTGTTAATTAACATGGTCACCCGTAATGAGAATTTGGTGCATGTTATTATTGCCCAGGACTTAGTTACTATTACCTCGTTTTATCTTTCAAGTTTTGTTTTTCTTTTTAATTTACTCTTTTCTCTGTAATTAAAATGTTGTTTATTGTGTCATACCTGTGAGTGAGGAGATTATCTCACCAAACATCACGAAGTTTAATACATCTTTCCTAGGAGCACTTGTGGGTGCATGTGTCCATGTATTTGTATTAGCTCCCTTGCATTCAGCCCCATCCTTCCTGCTATTACACCCAGGCAGAAGGTACAGTGCCCAAGGCTCCTACATGTTTTTATAATTTAGAAACGCAAGCCTAGATTATTATTCAGCTACAATAGCTCTGCCAAGATGTTGGAAAAAAAAAGTGAAAATTTTGATCTGCCGTAAAAGACAGGAACAGCTTGAGATCAGCTAGGCGCTGGAATTCACAGCATCTTGCAAATATTCAGAGAGACAATGTACTGGGGCAGATTATTTTTGAGAACCATTCCTAATGACCAGACAGACAAGACCCAGGGAGCAAGACGTCTCAAAGGACATACGACAGAAGAGTGAACAGGACTTCCACCCCCCAGCTCCCTGAGTTTATTGATAGCCCTGACTCATTTATGGATGAACAATACTCTAGTATGTCCCACCACCTGTTTGTTCCCAGCCATGGAATGTATTTATGTATTTTAGGCTCCAGTGTCTGAATCACTATTAGATCAGTTCTTGAATCCCATGAGTAATTACTGTTAAAGAAGGAAAAGAGGAAAAAAAAATAAAAAAAAAAACATCGTCAAGTTTGGGATTCTGATCCCAAGTTCCACACACCAAAGACAAATGCCCCTCTAGAAGACTTGTGTATTTTTAAAATGGTTAGGGACATTGAAGACAGGCATTCTAGTTCTTGACTGGAGCCAAGCAATGGGAATACTCAAATCTCTGTCTCTTAACGCATCAAGTAAATGCCTGAGCCACCAGACTGACCTAAGAGGCATCATAAAAGCCTCCTTTTCATGCCAACCACCAAGGGAAAACTTTAGTCGCAAACTTTCCAGCCAAGAGGAGATAACTGCAGGGATCCATTTTCCAGCAGGTCTAAGTGCCTCAGCCACTTCAGTGAAAGCATGGAGGACCATTTTTGCTATGGAGCCAGCCAGGAGGAAAGTTCAGCCTGCCATTCCTAAGCACGCAGAGGTGTACCATTTCACACCAGGTGAGCCTATAGCTCTGAGGCAGTCGATGTTTTATAACACGAGCTAAAATCATTTTTAAGCCTTAAAAACTCTAATTGGAGCAATATGGTTCTTCTGTGCTGTGCTTGGCTGGGAGATGAGTCCTTTTGGAGCTGTCCCTCAGCAGGACACCCCAGCAGGGCCAGCACAGCCCACTGGGTCCCGCCTGCTGGGACGATGCTTTGCAAGGGGCCTGTTTTGCTGACACGATTGTTCAAGCCTGACTTTCGGGGAAACCCTCAATAACATCAACAGCCAGTTTCAAAATGCTGAATTTATACATTAAAACAAGAACAAACAACAACCCCCCAAGCAAACAAGGCCTGAAGGAAGAGAGTTGTCTGTGAACTGGGAAGACATCTTTCAAGCGAAGCATCTACATTCTTGACACATACAGTATTCAAATAGCTGGGTGAGCAAGTGTAAACTTAGTTTGAAAACAGTCCTCATCAGCAGTTTATTTGCCTACTTACTTACTTCTTCAGTTGTTTTTTTGCTGCTTCTCCTAGAATCTCTACAACAGCATATGCAGCAACAAAGACACTGAAGAAGCCTCCCTACCTTGCCCACCCACCTGCCAGCCTGTTTTGCTCTTTCCCCATATTCAACAAACAGCTGTCACTCCTGAGCTTTTATTGCCTGGTTATTTATTCAGCTGCCATCACTAAATAGCAGTGGGAGGCCAATGAATGATTTTAGAAGATCCACAGCCTCAGAGAAGTCACCCTGATAGACAGAAGCTCGTTCACATAGCATCTGGCCTACACAGCACTTGACTAAAGCAAAAATGTTTGTAACCAACAAAAATGAAGTATTTCCCCCTTAGAAATCCTCTAAAACATGAGTCTTATGCTGCTTTTCTACACTGCCCCTGTAGCATTTTATGCTACATGTGTGTGGCATTGAGCTGGAGTAATGCTGGCTTCACCCCAGAAAGAGATGCATTAGCATGCTAAAAATCCTGTAAGAAATAACTAAAGCACTGTAGAGAGAGTGGTGGAGAAATTCAGTTTCTAATACACGCTGTTTTTGTTGGAGGTTTGTTACAGAGGAATTTGTTCTACTGAAAATGTGGCTACATTCATTTCAGCAAGGGGTTAAGATTTTGTTTTGTTTTTCCTATTTCTTACTTCAGATCCAGGCATCTCTTCAAGGCATGTAACGTTTTGGTACGGAGGACCTATTCACACATCCTAGGCAAAACTGAAAAATCCTTTCAAAACAAGTCAAAGGGCCCGTGGGGCATAGAGACATTCTGGCCAGAGGAGTCTGACCGTAAGCAATTTCTCAGATTCTTAGGAAGAGCTTAGCTGTTTTGAACACCTCTGGAAATGCATGGAGGCTGTACTGCACAGCGATGGCAACTCAGCTCTTCATGATTCATACATGAATCACGAAAAATACGTGATATTGAAAAAAAAAGTTAAATACTGAGAAGAATAGACTGCTCTGTAGTTCAACAGATTGTGCTTCTGCCCATCCTCTCTACAGACAGAAGCCCTGCAGCCTCTGAATTCTCCCCCAGGGTCGAAGGATAAAAATATGTCTCGCATCAAACCCCATGACCCACATTTTTCCTATCAATTAAAATGTAAATGGGGAGACAAAATGAGCAAAGTGAATTTCAATTCCCATTCCATTCTTGACTCAAAGTACATTTTTTCAGCATTGGCTCCAGGCACTCACGTCCATCAGCTGTCCGGGCTTCCATGTGTACAAGGTCTGGTTCTTTATCCAAACCGGCCACCGACCTGGGGGGAAGAGAATAAAAACAGAAAAGACGACATCAGGTGAGGTAAAAGGCTGCAGTCAGATGGACAAAGAGTGAGGAAAAGCAAAACCAGTTCAACCTTATGACACTGTGCATGTAGGTCCCTACCTCCTACCCACTTCGTTGTCTCTTCTATGTTCCTGTGAAGCCTGCTCCCAGGGACTATGTGCTAGCCTATAAACTACCCTTCCAGCTGTTGGTAAGAAAACAGCGACCATTCTTGGGGTGGCAAAGCTAGCTGGTTCCAAGATCCATCGAAACCAGAGCTTTTTTCATGCTGCAAGAGAGATGAGGACACAGCAGCCACATGCTTATAAACAAAAAATTAAAAAGGGGTTTTACTCAGCTGAATAGTGAGGCAAGATCTGTTCCTGGTTTGCTGTGCAATCTTGCTACCGTTTATCTCAGTTTCCCCATTTTCAACGGATGGCTTTTATGAAATGGCTTTAAGAAATGTAAGATATTATTTATCATTTTCCCTTTACAATTATGAAACAAGGCATGAACTTCTCTAAACCCAAGCACCTCAAAGCATATCTTCCCCCCCCCCTTTTTTTTTTTTTTTTACTCCCTAAAAATGTTTTGCAAGGTACACTAGAAAGACAATTTTCCTCTTGGCAGACGGAAAGTCAAGCCCAGAACAGAAATGTTATTCTTAGTGTACTGGCTGATAAGAATCACTGGGAGATGAACATTTATTCCTAGCAATGGCTGGCAGGGGGAAAAAATATCCATAGATGTCCACGTGATTTATGGAGCTGCTTCTCCCGAGTTAACCAAGGGGTTAGATTAAAAAGGGACAACGACAAAAATCAGTTTCTAATTTGGTGGAAGCTGAATTTGATACAGTAGATTGTAAATAATAGATTCCCCTCTGAGCCAGCCAACGTTCACAATTCCCTAATGTTCTGAAACATTTTTATCATGATCTTTTGCTGCTTTAATCCTTGGGGCATCAACAGCTAAAACATTTCAAAAAGAAGAAAAAAAAAAAAAAAAGAACATACCAAATACAGATGCTCTGATATATTTTTGTGGAGCTGAAAAAGCAATTGAAGCAACAACAAACACACGTATGTGCCAGGGTTCAGCTAAGATCAGCCAGTGCTGCAAATGCCAAAACAGCTCAATATGACCCAGAGTGGAGGTACCCAAAATTGGCTCTGCTCGTTAACTTAGAGCATCGCTTCAATAGCAAGCCTACTCACAACATACTGTGAACCGTAGCAAAAAACAACACAGCAAAACAAAGCCGTGCAGGCAGAGCTTTCATCATTCCACTCCTGGTGAGAAATAGCCTGTTCCCTAATCACTACCACCAGTTTCAGGGTGATGCCACAAAGAAGATAGCACTGTGCGTTATCAGAAAGGATGCCAGGACGGGCCAGAGTCCCTGTGACCATGCAATTATCACTGTCAAATCTTCTGAAAGATCTGGGTGCAGTTAAAAGTGACAGTAGGACTGACAGGAAATCCCTTAAAATGTCAGTGAAAAACACTACAGAGTGCAGCATCATTATTTCCCAGTACATAGGAAGAACACATCTTTCGTGTCCATAGCCAAATCGTTCTGCTTTTTTCCACAATGAGCCATAAACGCTGCTCTCAGCTGTTCAGCAGTCGTGACTCTCACTTGTGACTCACCAAACAGGACAGAGGAGCGTGCTTACCATGCATTATAACTTTATAAAAGGGTCCGGCAATTTCTGCACTTTTTGGCAGAGGTCGGGAACACTTTAGGAATCCACCCCATGGCCCTTCCCAGCAGGCTTTCTATTAAATCCAGACATTGCTCTAGAGGCTGCACTCGCCAGATTTCCTTCTCAAAGCCAGACACTAGCCTTTTGCACAGAGCCATTGGCTGTGTCGGCAATGCCAATGTCACCCATTCCCCCTCCAGGCAGAGGGGCACTGTGCCTCCCCCACAGCAAAGGGGCAAGCCCAGAAAGGAAGCATCACAGTGAGAGCTGCCACAATGCTATCCATCTTCAAAGGGACTGAAATTAGTAGCATCTATGCATTTCCAAAGAAAAGCCAGAATACAGTTATTATTACCGTTGTGTGTTTGCATACACAAGCTCTGTGGATCCATTCCACTTATAATTCCTATTATGTGAGCACACGAAACAGGAGTCTCCCGAAACGTGTCAGTCTAGCTTGAATTTCTTTCCCAGTGCCATCTACTTGTTTCCTTAATTAGTTTTGACAAGCCTGATGGTTCTTTTCAGAACAAGGACGACTTCAAAAGGACCAGCATACAGCATCGCCCAGTACTTCTGTGCTCAGTGAATGCCGTACTTCAAGTGGAAAAGCTCACAAAGCAATCTCCTGCAGCCCACAAGCAAAACAAGCTCCTGTTATCTACAGACAGATAACAGCCCTGTAAAGTAATGCATCGGTCATCCTTCCTTCTCCCAAACCTAGTTGTTCTCTTCTATCAAAGCCTCTGACTGAAAACAAATCCCCACTCAGCGCTGTTTCTTCATGCCTCCCCTCGAGTCTGCTCCCACTGGCAGAGACAATGGCTTTGGTTTGCAGTGTTTCTGACTCCTGAATACGGGTATCTTGAGTATACGGTCTCTCGTCATTTGTCTGGAGAAGCTTTACGTGAAGAATGCAAAAAAGTTAGGCAGTGGAAAAAGCAAGATGTGAACACAGGTCCTGGAGCACACCTGCAAACACGCACACAGACTGTAAAGCTATTCCTTCATCCTGCATGGTAACTTAGCTTGTCTTGAGAGCTCATTACAGCAACCTCTCAGGTCTGCCAATACAAGAAGGTAAACACAGAAGATGCCTTCACAGCCTTACATTTTCTCATTCTTTCTTCCTCTGTATGACATTTGGAGGATGCGCTGCTCAAAACTATTCGAGCAACTTAAATATGATGAGGAGAGATGTCAGCATCCTGTGACTTACCTTTTCCCTTGCATGTTCTGTACAACCAAGCAGAGACAACAGAGCAAGCTGGATGGGAAGGGGCTTCATTGCCCTCTGGCTGAAAAACACCTCTCTTTCAAAGGAAAGAGTAGTTAACAGAAACCTAAGCCCAGCTTGAAAACACTTTTTGTGCCTCGTGGTCACACCTCACACTCTAGGCATAGCTCAGCTCTATTTTGCATGTGCACAAACTCCAGATAGCAAAAACCAGATCAAGGCCCACAAAAGGCATCCATGTGTGTTGCTGCCCTGGTTGGCCAAGGGGGGAAAAAAAGGGCACACACTGTGACAAACCATGCTAAATCAACATCCTCCACCATCCTTATTCATTTATCACCACCCAGATAAAAAAAAAAAATGCTGAGAAAAGAAGATGCAGCCAGAAGTGACAGGAAAGGTCATTTTTTCCTGCTGACATGTTCCCTGACTGCTGCAGAGGCAGTTTTTGAAATGGGGAGCCTGCAGCTAGTGTTGCAGCTGGCACAGGATCATCAGCCAATTAAGAATTCAAACTACCTCTGAATGCCATTAGGAAAGAAGAGATGGTTACTTTTTCTCTATCTTCTGTTGCTTTTCTTTTTCGTTCTCATGGTAGTTCTTTGACTTCACAAGATCTTTCCTCCCTTCTTTTCAGGTGAGGAGTCTCTGCTCTTGAAAGGTGAAGGACAGACAGGACCCTGGCAAAATTCTTACTTCTATCTCAAGGGCAGAGCATTGTGCATGGATGCACATCTACTATGCTGTTCCAACAATATTTCATCTCTGACCTGGAGGGAGAGCAAGCAAAAAGGGCAAGGAAAACACAGTATTCTGCATTTTAAATAGATATTCCTAAAATGTTTATATGTAAGACACTATATAGTTCAAAATGAAAAATGCAAGCACATGCGAAGAAAAGAAAAAAGAAACACACAAACTTTCAGTCTGGGTTACCTGCCCTACTGAACACCTCAGCTCACTGATTCTACTAACTCCACTGCCTTTCCCTGGAATTAGCCATTTTGCATTTTTTTTCTCCTGTACTTTCCAGACACCAGGCATTAATGATAAACAGCAGCATTGAGATTAGCTACTCTAGCATCTTAGATCAAAAATGCTGAGCAATTCAGACTGCCTGCTGTTGATCCCTGTTCCCTAAACCATCAACCAAGATGTTCTAACCCTCCATCTCCTGGACCCATTTGTTTGGGGTGTAGAAGGGAGTTATCACTGGACCTCAGCAATATTCGCAACAAGGTTTTGTAATAAGGTCAAAAATCAGGTCACAGTGTTTGAGCTTTCAAACTTGGTCTGGGATCTGCTAAACTGAGTACTTTGTGGTGCTAGCAGACACGGGGGTGTGTCTTGCAGTCAAGGTGGCATTCAGCAGCTCTGGCTTTGAAAACAAAAACAAAACTTTTAAAACGGATTGAGACTTCCCCAAGATGCCAACTTAGAAAGTCATTTTTGCAGGTTGGGATGTCAGACTGAAGGTAATTGTGACTGCTCACACAAAGAGACAGAGGAAACAGATGGAGACTACTTAGCAGGATGTTGTGCCATAGATAAGGACTGGAAATAGGAAGGAACAAGTCATGTTTATTGTGGAATTATATGTAAAGGGGGGAAAACACATCCTCTTGCTGTAGGCAGTTACAATTAAATTAGTTGATGTTGCCAATTAGCCTGTTGCAATTTTAATTGTATCCTGCCCCAGAAGTGAATAAACACTTCTAGATGGTTCCAGGCAAGCAGTGCATGTGAGTAACTCATCCAAGCAACAAAAGGACCATGTCTATATGGGCAGTCTGTATGGGAAACTGATCCAGACAATTCCTGTTCAACTGATGTGGATCTTCTCACACAGCATCCTTGCTGAATTATACACGCTTTTTCAACATGGGCCAAAGGCCAACAGACTGCCTTCTCCATCACATTGCCTCGGTATCAATAACTGGAGTTGCCTTCAGATGATCAATGGGATTCTGTGTTTTCCTGCTATTTACTGGAGCCAAGCCTTAAACTAGGTCCCATCAGGCATTGGCTGTGCACACAAGCCAC